TATATATATATATATACTATACCTATCAGCCAATCACACGTTCATAAAAGTTGTATATTCCATCGTCATTTGTAAGTGAATATATTCTGCTTTTTTATAGCATTTTTGTATTTGTAAGTTCAATATATTCAATTTTCACATCATTTTTGTATTTGACTTTTGATTTCAAATTCAAAAACTTTATAAAAGAGTGTTTAATTGTGTATAACTCAATTATAGAGAACATTATTTACGAGAAAGTCATAACATGTTAACCAATATCATTTGATAAAGTATATAATCTTGATGTAGATTTAGAAGCTAAATGTATCATCGATTCTAAATGAGGTAGAAGGCTTTAATGATTCTATATCTGACGAGGCATAAGGCTGGTTTTAGGGCGACACAGGTGAGAGGCAGAAACTGTCTAAACTAGTTTAGTCTGCCCTGGGAATTATGTAATGGGAAGGGAACTATCAGGGGGGTAAAGCGCCAAGCCCTTATGACTATATAGCACTTGGAAAGGGTCAGGATAAGGATTAGGGATGGGACGGGGGGGAAGGAATGGGAGAAAGTGGGTTATTTTCACCATCCATATGTACAGTATATGTGCTCACACTGACTCTCATACGACTACGGGCTCACCATAGCCCGTGCTACCTGGAACTTTTGGTTCCCAGTAGCTGAATCTATAACAACAAAACTCATACGACCATACAGACGCCAGCAAAACACACACACACACACACACGCACGTGCGCACACACACACACACACACACACACACACACACACACACACACACACACACACACACACACACACACACACACACACACACACACACACACACACACACACACACACACACACACACACACACACACAAACACCTATCCCTGACCGGAATCCCTGGCCCGGAACGCTACCACAATCAAGTGCCACATCAACCATCAAAAGCTGGAGATTCACCGTGTACCCAATCCCTTTAAGCTAGAGATGCAGTGTACCCAATCACTTTAAGCTGGAGATGCAGTGTACCCAATCCCTTTAAGCTGGAGAGGCACCGTGTACCCAATCCCTTTAAGCTAGAGATGCAGTGTACCCAATCACTTTAAGCTGGAGAAGCACCGTGTACCCAATCCCTTTAAGCTGGAGAGGCACAGTGTACCCAATCCCTTTAAGCTGGAGAAGCACCGTGTACCCAATCCTTGTAAGCTGGAGATGCAGTGTACCCAATCCCTTTAAGCTAGAGAGGCATCGTGTACCCAATCCCTTTAAGCTGGAGAGGCACCGTTTACCCAATCCCTTTAAGCTGGAGAAGCACCGTGTACCCAATCCCTTTAAGCTGGAGAAGCACCGTGTACCCAATCCCTTTAAGCTGGAGAAGCACCGTGTACCCAATCCCTTTAAGCTGGAGAAGCACCGTGTACCTAATCCCTTTAAGCTGGAGAAGCACCATGTACCTAATCTAACCTATCGAACTCAATAGGTTAGCTGTGTTGTTTGAATTCTTACGCTTCTGGTTAGGCCTATCCAATTCATACATTACACATTAGGTCTATCACTCACACCACGAACTAGGCCTATCCTATGCCTACTTTAGGCACGTGGAGACGTTAACTAGGTTTACGGGCTATTCATGCCCGTGCCACCTCTTGGGTGGCTTAATCTTTATCAATCGTTAACTAGGACCACCCAGCTCCCTCATTAGGTGGGAATAGGGGATGGAGTGATTACAGAGGCATCAGCTGGGGTCTTGTTCCACGATAAAGACGAGTTTACGACCAAGATTAAACTGGCCGATGTCTGCACCAATCTCCGATAATCTGTGCTGGATGGTACGCCGCCGCCAGGAGTCATCCGTCACAGTTTGACATATCAACACAAGACAGAACACGAAACAATGGGTATAAATTGGATAAGTTTAGATTTAGGAAAGACTTGGGTAAATACTGGTTCAGTAACAGGGTTGTTGATTTGTGGAACCAATTGCCACGTAACATTGTGGAGGTGGGGTCCCTCGATTGTTTCAAGCATGGGTTGGACATGTATATGAGTGGGATTGGGTGGTTATAAATAGGAGCTGCCTCGTATGGGCCAACGGGCCTTCTGCAGTTGCCTTTGTTCTTATGTTCTTATGTAATGATTAATCTGTTCTTTCAACACTGCCGACGCTGGCACGTTTCCGATATGTCCTGGTGATCCGGTAAACAATGTGTGTTTCATAATAAGCTTATAAACGTATATATATATATTTTCACGGGCTAAAAACAGTGCCATCAGAGCACTGGGAAAAGGCGCCGTGGGGTACAATTTAAACTTACCCGCCCCGAGGTGTTAACGGCTATAACGCTCCGTTCAAAATTTCAAATTCAAATTAGTTTATTGAGGTATAAATACCCCACAAAGGGATGAGGTAGTTGAAGCTATTCTCACCCCGTCTGTTCAAACCTCTACCCTTAAACTCCCCTCGTGAGAAGACCTTGGGGAAAGAGGGGAATTTATTAAGGGCTTTGAACATAAGAACATAAGAACAAAGGTAACTGCAGAAGGCCTATTGGCCCATACGAGGCAGCTCCTATTCTATAACCACCCAATCCCACTCATATACTTGTCCAACCCGTGCTTGAAACAATCGAGGGACCCCACCTCCACAATGTTACGCGGCAATTGGTTCCACAAATCAACAACCCTGTTACTGAACCAGTATTTACCCAAGTCTTTCCTAAATCTAAACTTATCCAATTTATATCCATTGTTTCGTGTTCTGTCCTGTGTTGATACTTTTAATGCCCTATTAATATCCCCCCGGTTATGTCCATTCATCCACTTGTAAACCTCTATCATGTCACCCCTAACTCTTCGCCTTTCCAGTGAATGCAACTTAAGCTTGTTAATCTTTCTTCATATGAAAGATTTCTAATTTGGGGAATTAACTTAGTCATCCTACGCTGGACACGTTCAAGTGAATTTATATCCATTCTATAATATGGCGACCAAAACTGAACTGCATAATCTAAATGGGGCCTAACTAGAGCAAGATATAGCTTGAGAACCACACCAGGTGTCTTGTTACTAACGCTGCGATTAATAAATCCAAGTGTCCGATTTGCCTTATTACGAACATTTATGCATTGATCCTTTTGTTTTAAATTCTTACTAATCATAACTCCCAGATCCCTTTCGCAATCCGACTTCGCAATCACAACACAACAATTTGGATAGTAATTTATATAGTAAACCATCATTATTTATTATAAACGTAAGACGCACATCTATTATGTGATTTGCAAGATTTGTAATATTTGCTCTCTCGTTTCTGCCTTGTCAGACAAAATATGTTGATGTGAGACAAAATATGTTGATGTGAGACACAAATATGTTGATGTGAGACAAAATATGTTCATGTGAGACACAAATATGTTGATGTGAGACAAAATATGTTCATGTGAGACCAAAATATGTTGATGTGAGACAAAAATATGTTGATGTGAGACAAAAATATGTTGATGTGAGACACAAATATGTTGATGTAAGACACAAATATGTTGATGTGAGACACAAATATGTTGATGTGAGACAAAAATATGTTGATATGACACAAAATATGTTGATTGACCCTCCCCCCCCCCCCCTCCAAAAAAAAAAATTGCAGTCATACAAATATCATGATATTTAATAATTCATATAAAACTATATATATATTTATATATAATATATATATATATATATATATATATATATATATATATATATATATATATATATATATATATATATATATATATCTTCTGAACAATCTTCATTAGGAAAATCAGGTGGGTGAGGGTATTAGCGTCATCTAGACGGGGATTAAGGGAGTTAATAAGCTTCCAGTGTCATCCCTTGTGGGTTGAGCCTTTGAAAACGGGTTTGGGGGATGAGTTTAAATTGTTGTGCTCTCTCCTAGTTATTGTGTGTGGATGTTGAAAGGATGTTGGGGGAGGAGGGAAGGTACAATGTTGAACAGTGTTGTGAGGTGGGGTAGTGGTTGAGGAGGGAGAGGTGGGGGGAGAAGGTTATCTTGAGATGATTTCGGGGCTTTAGTGTCCCCGCGGCCCGGTCCTCGACCAGGCCTCCACCCCCAGGAAGCAGCCCGTGACAGCTGACTAACACCCTATAATAATAATAATAACCTTGGGTTGTGGAGTTTACAAGTTCGCAAACTGTTTAATATGTTTAAAGCCGTCACGAATAGTGAAAGATGTACAGGTTTCGTGAGTGATTTGCGTAAAGGCCTCGTGAACCCTGGCCACCGAACTCGAGACCAAACTAACGGGTTATCTTGAGGTTATCTTGAGATGATTTCGGGGCTTTAGTGTCCCCGCGGCCCGGTCCTCGACCAGGCCTCCACCCCCAGGAAGCAGCCCGTGACAGCTGACTAACACCCAGGTACCTATTTTACTGCTAGGTAACAGGGGCATAGGGTGAAAGAAACTCTGCCCATTGTTTCTCGCCGGCGCCTGGGATCGAACCCGGGACCACAGGATCACAATTCCAGCGTGCTGTCAGCTCGGCCGACCGGCTCCCTATAGAGGTATAGAGAGAAGGGTGGCAGTTTAGGTGGGGGTGAGTATATGGAAGGGGTAAGGGGGGGGGTGAAGTTCAAGTTCAAGTATATTTATTGAGACAAGAAAGAAATACATCTCAAAGGGATAGAGTAGCTTAGGCTATTTCTAGCCCCCACTAACCAAGCCCCACTAGCCTACCCACAAACAACGTCACCCAAACTAATAAATACTAGTTTGGAATCCACATGAATTTCACACTATGACCTTTCAGCTGTGTCTCAGTTATCCTTTTCTTACAATCCTCAACTATGGACATGAAGAGAGGCTACGGGATCCAGAAAGTTCAGTAGAACTTACCTTTT